CGAGGGATTTCTTTCCATTTTCTGACATCCTCTTCAATCTCCTTTTCCAGAGCACTGTAGTTTTCAACTTTAGAGGTATTTTACTTCCTTCACCAGATTGATTGCTAGGTAATTCTTTTTTTATGCTATTGTGAAAAATGTTATTTCCCTAATTTCTCTCTCGGTGAGTTTGTTATTCATATACAGGAAGGCTATTGATTTTTGAATGCTGACTTTGTATCTAGCTACTGAATTGTGGGGGGAGGGTTGTTTTTCATTTTGTTTTGTTTTTGGTACCAGGGATCAAACTCAGGTCCTTGCACTTGTGAGGCAGGCAGCGGAACCATTGAGCTAAATCCCCAGAGGGTAACATATTATTTGGGGTTTTTTTGTTTTGTTAGTTTGTTTGTTTGTTTTTGGTACTGGGAATCCAACTCAGGTCCTTGCACTTGCGAAGCAGGCAGCAGAACCACTGAGCTAAATCCCTGACCCTTGAATTTGGTTATTAAATCTAGAAGTCTTTTAGTGAGTCTTTTGAGATCGTCTATGTAGATAGAGTATCACGTCATATGCAAAGAATGAAAATTTAACTTCTTCCTTTTTAATCTTTATTCCTTTTTTTCTCTTGTCTAATTACTCTGGCTAATGTTTTCAAAACTATATTGAGTAAGTGTGGTGACAGTGGACATTCTTGTCTTGTTCCTGATTTTAGAGTGAAAGCTTTCAGTTTTTGTCCATTTAGTTTGATGTTGACTGTTAGTTTGTCATAAAGCTTTTATCAGATTGAGATAAAGACCATCTATTCCAACTTTCTGTAGGGTTTTTGCCATGAATGGGTGTTGGACTTTGTCAAATGCTTTTTCTGCAACTATTGAGAAGATCATATAGTTTTTTTCCTTGGCTCTGATAACATTTATTGATTTATGTATGTTGAACCATCCCTGCATCCCTGGGATGAATCCTACTTGGTCATGGTGTATAACCTTCTTGATGATTTGCTGCATTCTGTTTGCCAGTATCTTATTGAGGATTTTTGCATCTATATTCATTAGGGAGATTGTCCTGTAGTTCTCTTTTTTGGTTGGGTCCTTCCCTGGATTTGGTATCAGGGTAATGCTTCTTCCAAGAATGAAACTGAGTATTGTTTCCTTTTCAGTTTCATTAAAGAGCTTGAGAAATAGCACTAGGTCTTCTCTAAATTTCTTGTAGAATTCAGCAGTGAATCCATCAAGGCTTGGGCTTGTTTTTGTTGGTAGGTTTTTAATTACATCTTCAATTTCATTGGCTGATATTGGTTTCTTTAGAATTTTTATCTTCTTGATTCAGTCTTGGTAATTCATATATATCTAGAAATCTGTTCATTTCTTCTGTGTTTTCCATCTTATTAGAAAACAGATTCTTAAAGTAAATATCAATAATACATACATCAGGGCCTGGGCTTTTTTTTGTTGGTAGGTTTTTAATTACATCTTCAATTTCATTGGCTGATATTGGTTTCTTTAGAATTTTTATCTTCTTGATTCAGTCTTGGTAGTTCATATATATCTAGGAATCTGTTCATTTCTTCTGTGTTTTCCATCTTATTAGAAAACAGATTCTTAAAGTAAATATTGATGATCTTCTGGATTTCTGTGGGATGTATTGTGATTTCACCCTTTTCGTTCCAAATTGCATGGATTTGAATATTTTCTTTCTTTTTTCTTTGTTTTGATAAGGTTGGCTAAGAGTTTGTCAATTTTATTTAAAATTTCAAAGAACCAACTCTTTGATTCATATTGTTTTCTTAATCTCCATTGCATTGATTTCTTTTCTGATCTTTATAATTTCCTTCCTCATACAAGCTTTGGGCTTGACTTGTTTTTCTTTCTCTAGAAGCTCAAGGTTCAACATTAGGTTGTTTATTTGAGCTCTGTTTTCCTGATATGGGTGTTCACTGCTATAAATTTCCCTCATTGGACTCCTTTCATTGTGTTCCATAAATTCCAGTATGTTGTATTGGCATCATCATTTAATTGTAGAAGCTGTCTAATTTCTTCTTTAATTTCATCTGTGACTCATTGGTTGTTCAGGAGGGTGTTGTTTAATTTCCATGTGTTTATATAGTTCTTGTGGTTTCTTTTGCCATTGATTTCCAATTTCATTGCACCATGGCCTGATAATATGCACGGGTTAATTTCAATTCTTTTGCTTTTACTTAAGCATGTTCTATGACTAGTATGTGGTCTATTTTGGAGAAGTCCCATGTGCAGCAGAGAAGAATTTGTATTCAAATGTTGTGAGGTGGAACACTCTGTAGACATCTACTAAGTTCATTTGTTCAAAAGTTT